CTGAGGTTTCTTTCTTCCATATCTATATTTATGAATATTGCGTCCGGTGGCGTGAATGACTCTTCCTATTCCAGGAAACATGGGTAAGATGGCAGCGAGCTGTGGGCCCGGTTTTTACTGTCGTGGTAGAGTCGGTTACGTCCTAGATCCCAGCCCCAGGACTCAGAGTCTGACCCCACGAGAGCCGTGTAGCCAACAGAATGTAAAGGAGCCTCTGACGTTGCCACCCCGACAATCGCGTGTGTACCTCGCTGCCGAGAGGGCCAGTGGATCCTCCACACATGAAGTCCTCTAGTGTAGCCAACCCGACCCCGAATGCAGTCCGTGCTCTGAGCGACCGGGTGGCGGTGAAACGTCAACTTATCTTCTTCTTTGATGAAAATGTTAAGTGAGCGGTCATCAGGGTTCCATGCATGACAAAGCTGAGTCTCCGGTCCAGCACACGGCATATCCAGTAGGAGGTCCAACCTAGGAGGTTTGGAGAAGTCTGGGCCCCTCAGTGCTGGGTGCTGCCGGCGATGAACCAAGGGCCGGTAGGACGGGGAGCCACCGCTTTCCCCGCGACTGTCTACTGATTTTATGCCTCCAGAAATCTTCTGACCCATGATTGGCGTTAAAGGGTGGACAGAAGAGGGATGCGGTGCTGCGTATAGCTAGATGCTACCTCATCAATGCGGTGGAGCTGTGAGTGGATTCCAGAGTGAAGAGTAGGGGATGGAGACGGTGAAGGGGGTGGTGAACAAATATTGTGATCTGGTCTCATGCCACGGTCATCATCAGGAAGACAAAGTGGATGCCAATCCTGTTGAGAGAAGAGCAGGGAAGAGTAGAAATTAAATAATTGATTTTTCCAACAGCAACAACAGGAGATCCACAGAGAGATGAGGATTGAAAGAGTCGACAGGGAGGGAGGGAGAAATTAGCTCCTGGCAAAAAAGTATTTTCACAGATTTTCTAAGGCTTTGCTTTGATAGAAATAAACAGCATGAGGAACACACACACACACTCTTACTCATCTTGCATTCTACCAACAATCTCACATGCCAGTACTAACACGTGCATCCAAACCTTCCGTCCAAACATTCCCGGGATGTGCAACATTGCCCAGATCAGAAGCCCTTTACCTGGAGGTAATAAAATTTAATTAGTAACGCCTGAGTTTGCTGGAATAAGAGAGAGAGAACAACCACAGCAGGTGTTCATTTACTCATGCTTCTTTGAAAAAAAAAAAGTACAACTTGAGCTTACTTGAAGAAAAGCTGTTCTAAATATAAATATTCATTCAAAAAAAAAAACAGTTTCTCGTAATTGGTATTGTGGTTTTCTTTTCAGGGGATATTTCCATGTTGATGCAATTCAGTAGCGTAGTATGCAAGTTTCCCGTGTGGGAGTTCAATCGGTTTCAATTTGATTCATTTTCAATGTTTTGGATCGTGCTGTTACCTTTAAAAATACAATACAATACTTGGAAAAAACAAAAATATATCATCCAATCAGTGGGTTTGGTTGAAACTCATACTATAGCCATGTTAGAACTATGTCATCTGAAAACCAGAAGCTACTTGAGGCGAATCAAAGATCATCTCTCGCTATATTCTCACAGTCTGTGGTATGACTGACACCACAGCTCTTCCAGGAACAGCAAGTGATGCTTCCTGTTCACTGGAAGAGTTCAGTCACACTGCAGACAGGGAAGTGTGTTGAGAACTGTCTACATAAACAGGTTGTACATCACTGCACTTACTGTATTTAATGTGGTGACTGAACTAATGCTGCCTCGCAGCTCAGAGGAGGTGAAGTGTTACTGTTTTAACACTGAACATCCGTCAGCATAACTCAGTATGGGTGACGTCAATACTGTATTATCAACCAGGGGTTATACATGTATACATACTGGTCATGTTTCTTCTGTTAATGCTAATGCCTTACTGCTTCAGGTGTGATCATAATAATGGGGAACAGCTGTGGGAAGAGTGACGCAATCAAAGTTGTTCCATTGAAGGCAACACTGTCATAACTCTGTTTGAGTTTTCTAAGACAGGTCACGTGGTGAGTGCACACGTGGTTACCAAAATGGTCTGTGGCCGTGTCAAAGAATGAAGACATGGTTTTAAATTCCCACATCTCTTAACTGCCAACACTGCTGTAACATGATGAATCTCCTTAACCAGCTGTCCAGACCTACGATCAACTGAAACAGAAACAGAAAAGCCAAAGTAGTGAAGCCACAGTGACATCACAGCCTTCAATGAGAACAACAGCAGACCTTCCAGTATTTACTGTGTACATTTACTGTAAGCGCTGGGCTGTAATGGACCAGGCTTCATGTTCTTGGACTGAGTTACTGACTGGAATTATTATTTATTTATATTTTTTATTTTATTTTTCATTATTATGAAGACATGATTATCCTTTTTCATTCATTAATTGTATTTTATTTATATATAATGTTTATTTAATATTTATCTATAATATATATTTTAGGTATTTTATACTATATAAATTGCTGTTTTTATTAACTTGTGTTTACTTTTTTAAACTGTCAGTTTTTTAGGGTAATGGTCAACAGGAAAATCTATATGGAAAATGTATCACTTTCACTCTTTATGATGTTCAATAAATGCAGTGTGTTTCCAGAGTCAATTAGCTTCATCATGTCGTGATTTCTATAGTGACCAAATATATACACTATTTAGATTTTCTTTTTCCCGTAATCAATTAATTTTGTTCAAATGTCTACGCTTCACACACACACACCCTAACACACACACAAATCTTCTTTAGACAGTTGGTGTTTTCCCTGTTCCGTCTCTTTCTATTTGACTGTGAGTGAGGTCATTCACTGGCAGACGCTGGGTGCAACACTCATGCCTGACCGTGTAGAGTCAGTGCTTGAACTCTCCCTCTCACACACTCGCAGACAGCTGTCTCAGTGTGTGTCATCGTAGTTGGCAGGTGGGGTAAGGGTGGACCCAACATGGAAGATTCCAGAATCAGTACTGCAAAAACAGTGGATAAAAAGAAGGCACCAGTTACACTGCACTTAGTGTGTGTCTCCTCTGCTGACCCAGTCTGGCACCACATGTGCATGACAATCTGGTGTTTCATCTGTCATTGGGAACGCACTTGACCTCTGACCGTGCATCATCACACTTACACTTATGCATGGTAATGTCCCCAGAGACCAGCACTGGGCTGCTGCTGCTTTTTGGTGCGGAGAACTGTGGCGACATGTTTCCACCATCTGTTGTTTACTTTCCCTGGCTAACTTCATCTCTCTTTTATTTTGTTGCCAACTCATTTTGAACAAAAAGTACTCCCTCCTTATCCCTGCAGTTTCTTCCCCCCCAGCCCTGGTATTTTCAGGTGAGTTAGAAAGTTACATAGAGCGTGGGAGGTCACAAAATGTCAGCTGTCTCTCTATCTCTAATAACTTTATATTTATATAACTCTTATGTACAATTTTATATGTATATATTTAAATGTGTATATTTTATATTGTTTGTATTTATTTATATGTATATATTTAAATGTGTATATTTTATATTTTTTGTATTTATTTATATGTATATATATGTTTTCGAGTGAAAAAGTCTATGGTCTAATTTTTATGATTTGTACAGGTGTGCAAAAACTGTTAGCTGCTCCAGTGTGAAGCATCCTTACATTTTTATTTTTTATTTTTTTCCTGGGGTGATGTTGACTACAGCAAATCCACATCGACGTGTCACTGCATGCTGTTTTACAGGGTAGTCAGGATTATGTCACAGTAAGACACAATAACAATCAAATCAGAACAGAATTCTGTGCCTGGTAATCTGATATTACTCCAAAATTCTAGTCAAAAAGTTTGAAAGGATGAGCCAGCAGTGTGCACCTGGTGTGTGGGCTGACTTCATCTGGCTTCTCCTGCTGCTCTGCTAACAAGCTCCAGTTACAAAAACCTGTGTACGTCTGTGAGTGTGTGTACGTGTGTGTCTGCCTCAAACTGTCTTTCATTAAAACCATCCAACAAGCTCTGACTGGGCAGACAGGCTTTGAAGTCAAACACAAACAGAGAGTCACTGTAACACACACACACACACACACAGGGACATAGGAAACTCCTGAGGAACCTCTCAGTCACTCACTCACTCAAAGCGCCACCCTCTGAAAACCACCCAGAGATGTTTCTGGGCTTTTTCCACACTAATCCAAAGTATTCAAAGAACTATGTCTAAATATAAACTGAACTCTGACAGAAACCAGATTTTTTTTTTTAAGTCGCTATAAATACACATCCATTATTACTCAGGTTTCCAAAAGGGTCTAAGAAGAAGAAGAAGAAGAAGAAAAAGAAATCGACCTTCCAGGAAGTCAGGACTAATAGCTCAGCACATATACCACCCCCTCCTGGCCTGACACTTATCTGACTTTTAGCACAAAAACTACTAAGCTAGTGTTTCCTCGTTAATTACCTCAACCGGTGTTGGATAACCTCTGGCCTTTTGGCATTTCATAAGTAAAAAAAAAACTCATGAGACACAGTACAAAGAAGATTCTCATTAAAATCACCAGAGATGCAGTGCATACTTCGACTGACTACAGAAAACTCCTTTAAGAATTGCCAAGTTTTTGAAAGTGAGTTTTGTATAAAGTAGTGACAGATATTCAGTGTTTGGCCAGGTCTTAGGAAGAACCAACATCAAAACCTGAATTCGTTCTACGTCTCTGGAAAACAATCACAGCCATAGCTTGGGACACAAGTGAAAAGAGATTCTGGCCGCTTAAATCCTAGCAAGTTCAATCAAATCAAAAAACTTCACGAGAAAACTGAGAAATATTTGATGGTTTTGTGTGTAACTAAGTCAACCCAAACACAAAGCAGTGAGGACTACTATATTTAGATAGTTTTTCATTGTGATTTTACCTCAGAAAAGCAGGTTAAACGTCAGTGATAGTGAAACAACTGAATTAGTCATATTTTGATACTTGATACCTTACTGTGATTATCAGGAAAGAGGAAGGGGGTTCTTGCACTTTTGGTAAAAATGACAAAAACGTGTTTGGTAAAATAATTGACTGTGCAGCGTGTCACGACTGACGGGCATTTTTATTTCTCAAGTAAAATAAATTCCACTGGGCTTAAAAATTTTGATTATGAATTTGCTGATGACTGTGGTAACGATGAGCACACTTTGACTATCTGAACCTATAGTATATGTTAGGCAAAACCCCATTAATGAAAAATAAAAATGTCCTATGACATTTCTGAGTGTTAGTGTGCAAAACTATTGTGAGAGGTTTTAAGACATGAATAAAATCTAAAGAAAAGAAACCGATACTCTTCTTAATACGAAAACACAATCCACCACACTATCTGTGGGAACGACAGATAAACATCTTCCAAAAAATATCTCTCCTACAAGAACCATTAATGGCAACTCTGCATATTATCTGATTCAATCGGTTTTGTTTGTTCCAACTTTCCTCTAAAAACTCCGACCCTGCACTAATGTCTTAGCTGTTTTAAATCTAAACCTTTTTTTTCCCTCACCTGTCAAGAGTCAGTGAACTCGCCTTATTTCAGTTTTTCCGAATACTGCTTTTAGCACAGCGTCTGGTTACTGTGTTAATGTAAAACTTTCTCACTTACTGGTATACTGGTCAAGCTTGAAATTCAACATGAAAAGCTGCAGAACTCTAATAAGAGGAAAAGTCTGCTGCAAAATTGAGAATACAGGCAAAGGTCAAAGTAATTTCAAGTTTCACTCCAGTCTTGCTCGTCCCTTTATTCTACTTTTTAAATAAGGACTCATGGGC